CGACGTCCTGTACAACAAGGGCCAGAGTTCCTTTGGTGTGAGACGGCAGCAGCTATAGATTTTCTATTACTCTGTAGACTATGGGTCTGCCTGGCGGGACAGAAAGAGACTAGAAAAGCTAGTAAGGAGGGCCACCCTAGGCTGCATGAGGGCCACCCTAGGCTGCATGAAGTGGCCAAGAGGAGGGTGCTGTCCAAGCTTACATCCAACATGGACAATAAATTTCACCCTCTGAACCAGACTGTAGAGGAGCTGAGCAGCTCCTTTAGTGACAGATTGATACACCCTGTATTTAAAAAGGAGGGCTAATGCAGGTCATTCATCCCTGCTGCCATCAGACTTTACAATGCCTCTGCATTATAACCTGGAGTATAGGGGTGAGAATTGGCATGGGTGTTGCAATATAATACATATCGCGACACTTGGATCACGATACGATATTATCACAATATGTAATATCATAATATATTGCAATATTTTCCCAACAATCAACATTATTTGAATAGATAAAAAAGCAAATGCTGTACATGTTCATCAGAAGGTATTGATCATTCAGTTATTTTGGTATCCATGTTGTTTGGGGTTTGAGGCACTCCACGTCTTCCACTGTGATTGCCTTAACTACAGATATGGAGCTGCACCGCACGGGAGAAGGGCTCCACAGCACTATCTGCTAGAGCGGCTGGGCACAGGTAGCCCATTTTTTAAGGAAATATTTTGTTTGTTTTTTTTTATCGATAGCAAGAACTGAAAGATATTATACCGGGCAGCCAACAAAAATCACAATATATCACCTAATTGATTTTTTCCACACCCCTACTGGTGTAATAAAACTAAATAACGCATTCCTTTTATCTACATAAGAAACCAGAAACCACACTTTATCTGCCACCACTTTACTGTTCTTAAGATACTGTATCTTTAAGTCACCTTAAATCTCTACCCTATTTTTTTCCATCCACTGTATATATCTGGATGTACTGTATATACTTTATGCACCGTTTCCTCCTGTGTGCACCTTCTATTTGTTAATAAGAACTGATGCTACAAGTGAATTCCTCCGTTTTGATATCAATAAAGTTCTATTCTATTCTACCATAACACAGGTGAGCTTCCCATCAGCTTTGATCGGGGTGTTGACAATGATCTCCAACATATTCTTCTGTTTTAAAAGTGGTGCGCCTCATTTTACATTAACAGCAGCAAACCAACTACCTTTACAGGTGTTTCTGAGCTTTACTACAGGCAATATTTTCTAGCCTGACATAGTCCTACTCAATTCTAGTCAGAATATGAGTCTGATACTGCTCCATAGAGCTGTGATTATTGGGCGTGTTTCGAACGAACCAGGAAAAAAAATGCCTCTGCACTCAATTGGATAGACCTACAACCAATAAGAGCAACGGAGTGCGTGACGTATGTTAAGCCAGGCACAACAAAAATCTATGGACTATGGACTGTACCCAGACAAACAAGAGAGCAAAAGTTTTTTTGACCCAAGCGGTCAAAAACCTTTTGGTTTCAGAAAATGGGTAAATGCCCTGATTTCATCTACTAAAAACTTTCTTCTTTAGTTGAGCTGTAATCACTGATTAAAACCACATTGTTTCCAGCTGAGGCAAGGAGACTTAGGGGGCTGATGACTCAACCATTCTCAGCTGCTCACCGACGGCAGACCCTTGCTGAGACCCGAGGAATTCATCCATACCAAATTAGGACAGAAGCTTTTTTATGAAGCCCAAAGAAAACTGACCCATATACTGGAGACTGAGCAGAAGGACATAAACAGGAAGTCTATTAGAGCACACATGAATAATAGATGGGACCAGGAGTGAAACATGGGGATAAAGAGAGAAACTGTTAAAGTAAAAGACCACACCATGTTACAATACCAAGGCACGCTGCATTACACAACAGTTCAAAGTATACACAGCACTAGAAAACAGGTGGCCTACTGTCTGAGATTACAGGGGAATTAGAGAAAGTCCTAATTTCTATTTCAGGTACTTTTAAATGCATAATCAATAATTAACTGAAAGCTTCCAATAGGCAGAAGCTACTTCTGGTGTTTTCTGCTGGGCTCAATCTGACTACAGTACATAAAGTCCCTCACACCAAACACTGCGACCAGGCTGGCCAAGCTACAGAAATATTAACGAGAAGGTTCACTTTGGTTCACTCTCTCTCTCTAGACATGTCAAATCAATTCAGTTTATTTATATATCACCAATTCTGACCTCAGGACGTTATACCAAAGTTGAATGAGCCTGTAATGTTGTCACTTGAATTTTGTGTGATTTTGTTGTCAGCAGATGTTTTGTACAGAACAAAGTATTATATCAGAATATTTCATTCATATCCAGGATGTGTTATTTTAGTGTTGAATTTATTTTTTGAGCATTTCAATTCAATTCAGTTTATTTCTATTGTGCCAATTCACAACACATGTCATATCAAGGCACTTCACCAGATCATCCAGTCAAACTGATTCAAAGTTTTCTATCTCAGGAAAACCAGTTGATTGCATTGACTCATTGACTCGAAGGCAATCCCTCACCTCTCCACTGTCTCTTGTAGCGACAGTGGAGAGGAAAAACTCCCTTTTAACAGTAAGAAATCCAGGCCAACTGGGGTTCAAGGAGACAGAAGCAGAGATACAAAAGGTAACTGTAAAAGGCGGCCCTGTCCAGGAAACACACAGCCATGTAGACAAGCTCCAAGCCAGCTCCCATTTCAGAGGATGAATAGAGCACATCCAGCCAGTCACAGTCATAGAAACAGGACTACACTGAAGAACAGGCCAATCGCAGCCAATCTCCAACATCTAAGGGCAAAATCTTCATCTATGTGCAAAAATATTCATTTCATCCTCATAGACCATTTGTTTGCTCATTTCTGTTTTGCGGTTTTGGTTTCACTGGTCAAGTTAACTTAGAACATTGCATTGATTTTATTTTGAAATTCATTGGGACGCCTAAGTGTGGGGTTCCTGAAATGTCCTGTTTGGTATGAGGAGTTTAGGCATATCCTTCAGCTGTGCATCTAAAGGTTCCTTTTTTTTTCAATAAGCACCTTACGTAGTACAAAAAATAATAATAATAATCAAATATTACAAGCCCCAAAGTGATCCTCCACCTGATTCAGGAAGACCAGGGAAGGAAAATGCAAAAAAGTAGGTAAACAAACATCTGTGCCAAGGACTAGTATCCTATGTGATGTCTAGACTCCAGCAGGACGTAAATCCAAGCACTTAAAATCAATTATTAACTTTTTTTCCTGAAGAATGTGGACTGAGTTTGTGCCAGAAAAAGAAACATAAGAAAGTTTCACCAAACATTCTTAAATGAGGTCCAACTGGTACCTGATTACATTTAGTGAAAACTAGATTGATCAAACGACCAAACAGAGAGGGAAGAGGTTCAACGAATGAATGAATGACTTAACTTCAGACAGACAGGTTACACCAACAAAAACTGATTGATAAACAATACTAACAAAGAAAATCCCAACAATCACATCAGTAAAAGTCTAAACATCACATCATAAATCAATTTATAAATCTAATCACAAAAGAAACTAATAATATAAACAAAATACTCAACTGTAAACACTGAAAGTATAGGAATTAGTGGAGCTTCTGTAAAAAGGAAGAAAAAAGAAGCGAAATTGATTGATTCATCACTTCTCCATCTCATCACCCATAACATAAATAGCAAACCTTCAGTTTGTTTTCTGTTCAAAGGAAAAGGTCCAAACAGACCACAGCAAACCATTTGAAAACAGTGTTGCCAACGTTGCTCTCCTCTATCTTGTCTGCTGTCATGATTCATGCAGCTGAGGACAGAAAAGCAGATCATGGCTTGTCTACAGTAAAAAGAAGGACTGGGTTATTTACTTTTGCCGTTGCCTTTTTGGAAACACAGGAAGGAGCAATTAGCTTAGCGAGCTTAGTGCTTGAAGAAAATCTTTCATTCCTTTTGAGACAGAAGGAAAAGTCAGCTGAGTACAAAACATAGAGAGGAAAACAACAAGAAAATGGACAAGAAAAGAGGGACAAAACCTAGAACAAATAATGTCTATTCTATTAACATTTATGTATCTATATAATGGGTCTTTTTTATGTGTTGTCTTCTCGATTTAGAGGGCCCCCTGCCTGTCTTTGGCTAGGGCCCCAAATTTCCTAAATTCACCCCTGGTGATACATTGGCAGTAACCTTAATAAAATCTTCTTGTCGTTATATGATCACATTTCATGTAAGAGTTTCCTCTGCTAGGCCTCTAGCAACAGGAAACCCAGAATAATTCCTGACATCATGCTAAGCATGATGGGTGGGGTGGGTACCTAACCACTCAAGCCAATCAGCCATACTGACAGATGATATGGAAGCTGCAGCAGAGCGGCTGGGTTCAGCAGAACTTCACTGCTGGCCTTCACTGCTGTCCTGCCAATTAGATGAGTGACGCTGCAGTCTGCTGCTCCAAGATGATGAGATGCTGTATGACCCGTGTGGGTGATACAGAGGAATCTGCTCCACAGAGATCCCTTTTTTAAATAATGACCATCCTCAGCATCATCACAAGATGTTAGACAGCGGTGGAAGAAGCAGGATGTCAGAGAGGGGGATTCAGCATAGATCTAAGGATACATTGTCTATAAAAAATTGCAATAAAAGTTGTCTGAGTCTAACGATGGAGGGACATTGGAGGTGATCTATTGATGACGCCCAGAAACGTTTACATGCGCAGCCAATTTTCTTTTTTTTTTTTTAGCCGACGCCGTCATGATGTCAACAAGAAAAAAACCCATGTGAAGACGCGCATCTAGACATTTTTACACACATGCCTATATATATATATATATATATATATATATATATATATATATATATATATATATATATATATATATATATATATATATATATATATGCTGCTTTCCATCAGCCATGCATTGATGTATCGACTGACTAAAGGTCTGTCATACAGCAGCTTATATTTACCTTCATGTCGTTTACTATCGCCTGGAATAGACCCCCGAGGGCCCCGCATTCCTTCTCCACAGTCTCCATATTTGCCAAATCCACCATTCACAGGGAATATGCACGAGCGCACAGCAGATGCGCGCTCGTAAAAGGGAAAAAAAGGACAAAAATATCAAAAGATTTTATTCCACCAGATTGCACCCCCAGTTCGTCCTCCACACCGACTATCTGCTAATAAGGAGACTGTGGGGATGAAGAGGAGGAGGAAGAGGAGGGGGTTGAGGAAGGATGCCGAAACAACAAGCGCGTAGCTCTGCGGTGTCCTTTAGGCGACAGAGAGGTGTCTGTTCACAGCGGAAAGATGGTGCCCTCCCTCTGCCTCTGCGGCTCAGTCAGGCGGCGGGGCGGCACCGTTCGGATGGTACCGAGAAGATCAGGCTCATCTTGGCGCAACGTGGCGCTGCGCAGATGAGTCTGTGGGGACGCATGTGAAGGCAGCACAGTGGGAACTGGAGCGATGTGTCACCGCCACGGTGTGTGTGTGTGTGGGTGGGTGTGTGTGTGTCTGTGTGCGTGGCTGTGATTGGTGCAGAGGAGGTGGCCCAGCGGAGCAGGGAGAGCAGCCAGTAATATGATCCATGAAACAGTAAGCAAGGTTTTAAATAAAGGGGGGGGGGGGGGGGGGGGGGGGGGGGGGGACGATCCTAGATGACAGGTCACATGGTGTAGCCCCCACTATACCCCACCCCTCCCTTCACCATCATACACCTGATCTCAAGCCTCTGTTTCTATCATAAACTGCTGCACATTTCCCTCTATAGTCTGTAGAGATTCAGACACCCATTTTGAGAAGAGGCAAAGCAGCCCAGATGATTATAGAGCCTCCTCCATGTCCACAGTATAGGGACAGTGTTGTTTTCTTGATCTACTTCATTTAAGAATCTTTGAACATAGAGCTGATGTTAAAAGCGTCATGTTTGTCTCATCTGTCCATAAGATATAGTCCATGGATCCTGAATAATCTGCAGCTGTGTCTCTGCTTTGCCTGTCAGTTCCTGTTTGGCTGTGACTCAGTCCTGGAGAGAATTATCAACTGTCCCGCTGCCATCAACACCTTTGTTTATAGATGTTGGAGATCTGCCTGTTTTTCAGTGTAATCCTGTTTCTCTGTGACTGTGACTTACCGGATGTGCTCTCTTTCATCCTCTAACATGGGAGCTGGCTCGGAGCTCTTCTTTCTGTTTCCTGGAGGACAGGGCCACCTTTTGCAGTTACCTTTTGTGTCTCTGCTTCTTTTTCTATGTCTGCTTCTGTCTCCTTGAACCCCAGTCGGCCTCGGCAGATGGCCGCTCACACTGAGCCTGGTTCTGCTGGAGGTTACTGTTGCTACAAGCAAGTGTGAGGGATTGCCTTTGAGTCAATGAGTCGATGCAATCAACTGGTTTTCCTCTGATAGAATTCTTTGAATCAATTTGACTGGATGATCTGGTGAATTGTAAAGTGCCTTGAGATGACGTGTTGTGAATTGGCACTATATAAATACCCATCAATCCATCCATTATTTGACACAATTGTCCCAAGTGGGGTCGCGAGGGGTGCTGGTGCCTATCTCCAGCAGTCAATGGGCTAGAGGCGGTGTACACCATGGACAGGTCGTCAGTCCATCGCAGGGTGCTATATCAATATAGTGAATTGAAACTGAATTGAATTGGGGAAAATTCACATTCATCTAGGTCATAGTCATTCCAAAAAATTTACTAACCATTCCACTGGACTTTGTTTCCAAGTTTGAAGATGTTGCTCTTCCCATCCTGGAAGCTTTTTTAATTCAAATTGTCAGAAATAGCCTTGTTTTTGCTGTGAAAACATGCAAATTAAAACGGACAAAGGGGTCCACACCTTTGGAATGGGGGTCGTTTGGCTTCTTTTGTTAGCCTGCAATTCCCAATACCTGTCTATGTCTCTGAAAGGGATGTTGGGTGTTTAAAGCCTCGAACTCAATGCTATTTCTGACATTTTGAAAAACAAAGTCCAGTAGTGTTTTTGAACTTTTTGCGAATGATCTGCAGCTGCAGTCTGAGGAACATCAGCTGCTTGGAGATGGTCTGATTGCATTTAGATTTAACATGCTGCTCTATCATTTTATTTCTAATCTCATGAGACATCTCTTTCCTTCTTAACCATTTTGAGTGTGGTACACACCATGTCACTGTTGGAAGCTGGAGAAGTACCACCTTTCTCCAGCAGAGTCCGCCGTGGATCCTCCTGAGCTGAGCCTCCTTCACAGCTGCAGCTCATTCCATCATCAGAGGATCCACTACTTAAGCTGTCTTCAGAACTTGCCTCAAGGCCGCAGTGTTGATCCAGTTGGTTAGCACTAAGCCTAGAACCTTCTAAGAACTTTTGTTGACTTTTTGAATCCAAGCTGGATTCTAACCTCTGTCTCTGTTTTCCAGGAAACCAGTCTCTCTCCTGTGAAGCTCTGGAAGAGCTTAACCTGCCCAGCCTGCCCTCTGAGCCAAACCTGAAGCCTGCCTTTGAACTTCCATGCAGCCCTGGATCAAGAGCTGGAAACCCTGAGCTTAGCTCTGTTCAAACCCTAAGAAGTAAGACGCTGAAGCAGCTTTCGGACTCTGCGAACCAAACTCTCTCCAGTTCCAACTACCTTCCTCTCAAAGCTTTAATCAAGGACCCTCAAGGTACAACTCAGAAACAATCTAAAGACAAATCTCTAAGTGCCCCGCTAACTGAACTGTCTTCCCATGCAGACTACGGTGAACCCGTGTCCCTGGACCAGAACCAGATCCAGATATCATTGTGCTTGTTACAATAAACTCTGTTTAACTTTTACACCTGTTTCCGTCTAGTGGTGTTCTGCATATTTGGGTCTCTTTAGAGAACCCATCATGACAGAACACTGCGGCCAAACACAAGGCCCAGAAGATCACCTCCGCTGTCGCTTGGAGGAGCAGGATGCCCAAATCCAAGGACAAACCCAGACACTTCGTGAGTTATATCGCCTGGTTGACACTCACAATCATCTGCTTCAGAGCTACGCAAATTACGTTAGCAATGCTACTGCCACGCCAGCAGCACAACCACTTCCGGGTCCTATTCCCCCTCCGAGGTCACCGGCTGTGACGTCATCTGAGTTCCGCCCAAACCTTCCTGAAAGATTCTCCGGTAATATGAAGGATTACAAAGGATTTTTATTTCAGTGCCGGTTACTTTTTCAGAATTCTCCCAACAGTTTTTCCACGGATTATAAAAGAAGAACCTTTATTCTTTATCAGTTAACAGGAAGAGCTTTGGAGTGGGCTCAGGCCAGATTTTCCTCCGATGTAAGCCTCAATTGTAGTTATTCAGACTTTATTTCTGAATTCTCCCAGGTTTTTAACCAAGAGACTGATCAAACCATTGACTCTCGTGCTCTTTTCAGTATCAAACAGGGAAATTCTTCTGTGGCTGATTTCTCCATCAACTTCCGGGTTAAAGCAGCAGCTTCCGGATGGAACCAAAGCGCTCTGAAAGGGGCTTATTTTATGGCTTTAAATGAAAACATTAAGGACGAACTTGCAACCCTCGACGAACCTGCCACCCTCGAAGAATTAATAAGGTTGACAATAAGATTGGACAACCGAATCCGAGCTAGAAACAGCTCCAAGCCAAGAAACCTAGGATCTCTTTCCGCTGCCCCTGCTTCAAATAATGTGACTGTTTTTTCTCCTCCCACAGAACAGTTGCCCAAGTTGAGACCTAAGGCCCAGTCTCTTCCTCTGCCTGTTCAGGCTTCTCATTCTGGTGAAATGGAAGTCGAACCCATGCAGGTTGGACACACTAGGCTAACTCCAGAAGAAAGACAAAGACGTTTTTTGAGTAAACTTTGCATTTATTGTGGTGAGGGTGGACACTTCATCGCTTCCTGCCCGGCTAAGTCAAAAGCCTGGGCCCGCCAGAGGATCTGAGGAGTCTGGCGGGCCAAACTAATTCTAAGAAATCTCCTCGACTGATGCTTCCAGCCACTCTGTTTTTTGCTAACCAAAACCTCTCTCTCTCTGCATTCATCGATTCAGGCTGTGAACGGAACCTCATTGATTCTAATCTCGTCCAACAACTGAAAATTGAAACCATTCCTCTGACTCAACCTCTTCGTGTCTCAGCCATAGATGGGAAAAAACTCCACCAAGTTACCCATCAAACTCAACCCCTCGAGCTACTACTTTCAGGTAACCACCGTGAAACCATTACATTTTTTGTTTTTCCCTCCGCATGCTCCCCCCTCGTGCTTGGATTCGAATGGTTGGAGAAACACAATCCACGTATTAACTGGACTGATCGTCACATGGAGTCATGGTCTACGTTATGCCATGAGACATGCCTTCGTTCGGCTGCCCCCTTGGTGGGGTCTCCTAGAGGTGGGGGGGAGATGGACTCTCCTGACCTTTCTTCAGTTCCTTCTGAGTACCATGACTTGGCTCCTGTCTTCAGTAAGGTCAGTGCTACGTCCCTTCCACCACACAGACCATATGACTGTGCTATTGAATTGCTACCTGGAGCACCATTACCCAGCAGCCGTTTATACAATATCTCCAAACCCGAACGAGAAACCATGGAGAAGTACATTAACGAGTCTTTAGCTGCTGGGATTATTCGCCCTTCCTCCTCTCCTCTGGGTGCAGGGTTCTTTTTTGTTGGCAAGAAGGACGGTTCATTAAGACCATGTATTGATTACAGAGGTTTGAACCAAATTACAATTAAGAACAAGTACCCTCTACCTCTTCTCGCCTCTGCGTTTGAACCTGTCCAAGGGGCAACTGTCTTCACCAAACTGGATTGAAGAAATCCATATCATCTTCTTAGAATCAGAGAAGGAGATGAGTGGAAAACTGCCTTCAAAACCCCCTTAGGTCAGTTTGATAATTTGGTGATGCCTTTCGGTTTCACCAACGCCCCTGCCTGCTTCCAAGCCCTCGTGAATGACGTTCTCAGAGACTTTTTAAATGTGTTTGTGTTTGTCTATATTGACGACATACTCATTTATTCAAGGAACCTGTCTGATCATAAGAAGCATGTCCGCCTGGTATTACAAAGGTTACTGGAGAACAAGTTGTTCGTCAAAGCTGAAAAGTGTGAGTTTCATCAACCTTCAGTTACCTTTTTAGGGTTTGTGCTCGAGGGCGGGCAGGTTAAGCCTTCTGAAGACAAAATAAAAGCTGTTTTGGAATGGCCAGTTCCTGAGAATCGCAAGCAGCTACAGAGATTTTTGGGGTTCGCCAATTTTTACCGCCGCTTCATAAGGAACTATAGCCAAACAGCTCTCCCTTTAACCTCACTGACATCAGTAAAACGAACTTTTCATTGGTCTCCTGAGGCTCAGACTGCATTTGAGAAACTGAAATCTTTGTTTTCCAGAGCACCCGTGTTAATTCAGCCTGACCCTTCCAAACAGTTCATCCTCGAAGTGGACGCTTCAGATTCTGGTGTTGGAGCAGTCCTATCTCAAAGAGTCGACACTGACCAAAAGATCCTATCATGCGCCTTTTTCTCTC